CTCGGTCCTGCAGCGCTTTCCCCGAGCCAACGGCTTCCTGGAGGAGATCCGGCAGGGCACCATCGAGCGGGAGTGCTTTGAGGAGGTCTGCAGCTATGAGGAGGTCAACGAAGTGTTCGAGAACAAGGAGAAGACGGTGTGTTTGTCCTGCCCTGCTCCCCAGTGGATGTGTGAGGGCTTACGCTTTAGCAAGCTGGGGGCAGAGAAGGAAAGTACAAGGGGAACAACCTCTCCTGTTCCCTTTGTCCTCTCTGTCTGCAGGCAACATGCTGTGGCCTCGCTTTCCAGCATGACTTTCCCTTCCCGGGTGATGCCCTCACCTTGGCATTGCCAGGACACCCTGCCCACAGCTGCAGGTCAAGCTGGCACTCCCATGGCATGTGTTGGGAAATTTGTGCTGTTGTCCCTGACTTTCCAGGCTGGGGTTGGTGTTAGCCAAATTTCTCCCTGCTTGGTTTGTGGGCTGTTGGCTGCTGTTGAGGGATGTTCTCATGATCTTTTGTGTTGGTTCCTACAGTGCCTCAGACGGTGGCAGCTCTTGTGAGAGTGGTGGGGGATGGCCGAAAAACTGCCTCATTTGTGGGCCTAGGGAGGGCAGTGATTATTGCTAGTGTTGGTCGGGGGCTGCTTGTCCCACCGGCAGCACATGATGGTTCCTTGTTTGTTTTTGCCACAGATGGAGTTTTGGAAGGGCTACACCAACTCTGTCTACTCTGTCAAGGACCCTGGGCACAGCACAGAGCGCTCAGATGCTATGTATGTGGTGGTGCCTCTCTTGGGAGTGGCTCTTCTGATAGTCATCGCCCTCTTCATCATCTGGAGGTGCCAGCTTCAAAAGGCCACCCGCCACCGCCCTTCCTATGCCCAGAACCGTTACCTGGCCAGCCGAACAGGACGCAGTCTCCCCAGGGTCATGGTGTACCGGGAGCGGTCGCAAAGCCAAGGGGAAACCCAGTATCAGCGAGAAGTGAGCAACCGGGTGGCTGGAGATGGCAGAGCTGGGGGCACCCCCCAGCAAGATGGCACCCTCTATCCACCAGAGCATTCAGTCTCTGTCCTCTCCAGACTGTCCAGTGCCACCCCTCCACCTTCCTATGAGGAGGTGACATGCCACCCAGAGAGCAGCAGTGGTGAAGAGACCAGTGTCTCCTACAATGACCCACCGCCCAAGTACGAAGAGATCGTGGCCGCTGCCCCTGCCGCAGGCAAATAGCGGGTCTGCCTCCCTCCTGCCTCATCACACACTCACGCTCACCCACCCACTCTCCCTTCGCCATGCCTGGGATCCCTTTCAGGTGCCAGTTGGCACCCTGTCTCACCTGTACAAGCTGGTGCCGTCACACAATAGCCTTACCCTCCTAACCAAAAACAGCTGTCCCCAAGTGGGGTGAGGCTGGGCTGCGGGGATGGCTCTGGAGCCAGCCGTCTCCTGCTCCTCACTCCCCACTCACGTAAGTGCTGTAGCAGCCAGAGCAGAGCAACAGCTTGTTCCTGGCTCAACACGGGGGTCTCCCCATGGTGCATTTGATTTCCTCACTTTCCCCTCAAACAGACATAACATTTCCCATGATTAAAACAGCCTCGCTGCCTCCCTGGGGCACTGCTCAGCCTTACCTCATGTCCTCACCGGGCCCCATTTTGCTGCTTGAGGCTCTGATTAGGGGTTGTGGATGCAGGAGGGGTGTGGTGAATTTCTGTCCATCCACAGTTGGTGTCCACACTCTGTGTTTGGGGAGAAAGTGCTTCCCTTGAGTGGATTTGCTGCCAGGTGGGAGTGGGAGCCCAGTCCACACTCCAGTGCCTGTAGCGATATTCGCTGTCTGGAGTTGAGGGAGGAGCAGTCAGGGAGGTGCTCTCTGATCTCCTATATCCCTTTGGAAAGAAGGAGAGGCTCACAGTGGTCTTGTACGTGAGGTAAGTGACTTTGGAGTAGCAGGTCCTTTTCCTGATGCTCCCCACTTTCCCTCTGTGGGATGCTGGGCAGCTGGAGGTCTGGCAGCGGCGGAGCTGGCTGATGGGGTCATCTATGACCTCGAGCCAAAGGTGGTCCCATGGCTTTAAGCAGTGGGGATGTTCCTCTTTCTTGGAGCGTGCCTGTCTGATGTCTGCTGCAGAGGTGGGATGCTGGCACAGGGAGACTGCAGATGGGCCAAACGTTCCCTCTCCCAACCCCAAACCTTTCCGTCCTGCCTGGCCCCTCTCTTTGGGGCTCTTTGTCCTCCAGAGCAGGTAAAGGGGAATGCGAGACCCCAGGCCCCTCCAGGCCCCTCTGGTGGGCAGAGTGCTTGGTGGCCACAGCCAAGGCGTGGAGGGCCTGGTGACAGAGGTGAGAGCTGACCGATCATGCTGCGACCCAGTGGTGCCAGTGGGTCGGGAGTAGGGTCAAACCCAGTGGTCGGGAGTAGGGTCAAACCATGTTGTGCCTGACCACCGGGTGGTTGTGGTGCCAGGGCAGGGTAGAGCCATGTGCTTTGCTGCGGGACCAGAGTGTCCTCTTTTCCTGGGCAGCTGCTTTTGGGGTCGAAGCAACAGGGCTGTCCTTTCCCAGTCATGTCTGATGGGTTAAAAAGGAGGTTGTCTCACCAGCCCCCCAGGAGTATCCCAGAAGCTCCCAGCACTGCCACCCCTTGGTGTTCACCCCAGCACCAGTCTCTCCACCAGCAACGAAAGGCTGTTGTACATCCATCAGCTGCCTGCACCCTGCTTGGTCCCAGCGATGCTCTCGCAGCAGGTGCCCTCAGCCCAGAGCTCAGGCTTGCCCAGCGTGGCTGGTCCTGGGGCAGGGCGTGGGGGGGTTTCCGGCT